ATGCTTAAATTTGTTGTTTATATCAAAAATATTTGTAAGAAAAAGCTTTCCAACAACTACATGTGTAAAAGTTTTTGGTTAGCAAAGATGCATTTCATGCGAGAGGCGCACCAGTCATTGTCGGATTATTTTTTTTTTAATATTCACTGGTATTAAGCCGATATCTGTACCAGTAGGTACGCAACTCCCAAGATGACGTCGAGCTTGACAGGTTCATGAGTTTACATCGCTTGATTTTGTTATTTTTGTCATATTTCATTAAATGAATCAAAGTGAATTGTAGATATATTGAGTCTTACATGTAACAATTAGCTAGCGACAAGCAGAGTTGAATAAAACCGACAAATAAATTATATATCTCGTATGAAGGTGATAAGCGTACCTTGATGTTTTGGACATAAAAACCATGTGTAAATGATATCGGTACCTGCTAGTTTTATTTTTTCTAATTCTTTGCATTTTAACAATTTGCGCATTAATGTATCTGTCAAATATTTCACAGGAACGTAGCATCGTTTTTGAAAAAAGGGGGGTTGGGGCAGCAAGAGAAAAAAATTCAACATACTCGAAAATCCTATTTCGTGGGAGGTGTAAGGGGGGAGGATAGGTGTTCCATCTTTCAGTATCAAATTTTATTAATACATTACCCTGAATTGACTATACTGCAACAAAAAAGGGGAGCTGCCCTTTCAATGAATGAAATATATGTAGATAACTAACGGTATTCAAGCTCAAATGTCCATTAAACAATACAAATCGGGAACAGAGCAAACACGGACCTCTAAAATGTCAGAGGTGGGATCAGATGCCATGGAGGAGCGAGCATCCCCTGCCGACCGGTCATACCCGCCGTGTGCTCCTTGTCATGATCGTGAAATACGGAAAAATCCGTCGACAATGAATCTTTTCAATCGTGAAAAGTAAAGTTTGTAGTTTCAAGTCTGTAACAATGTTTTTTAAGGTGGAGAGGGGTTGAGGCACAGGAAAACATTCAGGATTTTTTTTAAATGTTAAAAAAGCAAATGTTTACAAGCAATAAAGGGAAATAGGCTGTTGACTATTTTACAAAACTTAAATTCTTAAAACTGAGAAAGGAGGGGGAGGGTGGTGGTGTAATACTCTCATTTTCTTTTCTTCACGAAATATATTCTGTACAATACGGTGCAAGCGGTTCAACGCTACCACAGAAAAGTGTGGAAAGTGTGTGTTTGGGGGGGGGGGGTCTCAGATTAAATAATACCATGCATACAGGTGTATCTGCAAAAGACAGATGAATCCAAATCCAAATCTTATGTAGAGAAAGAATACATATACTTTTACATGTACCGGTAAATACAATGTATAAAAATGTTTGTTTGTTTGTTTGTTTGCTTAGTTGTTCAATCATATTGAGACGCCAACACTTGCTGGTGGGGGGCTGCAAATTTAGACCTGTACTCGACACTTGCGGCTTTTGAGCAGAGAGAGATCTTTTTCGTGCCAGCATCTACTGCGACAAGGGACTTCGGTTTATACGGTTTTATCCTAAGGACCGGTCTCCACCTTATACAGTACGGAAATAATCCATACATTGTAAAAACAGTTTAGAAATGAGGCAAAAATAATAATTATATACATTTTTGTATGCTACGAAGCGATGCAAAAACAGATATATTCGAGGAGCCGTAACATATTTGGAGATTCGACCGTACATTATTTCGCCAACCACAATATCGAAGTGTATGCTTAAATCTTTGATAAAGTCCCAATATTTAATTACATTGTGACCCATATTCTTTTTCTTGAAATGTTGGGTTTTCTTTGGTGATTATTCATATTTGGAGCGCTTGAATCATTTCCTTTGAATTAATGTATTGTATAAAGGTATATGTTGCAAATTTCTCTCTGCTTTATAGGTTTAAAGACTATATGTATATATCTTCAAATCATTTTAATTCACCAACAGATTGAAGGGATATATAAGTATATCTATAGATGTAAACTCTCGAAGCTGTGGAGCTTTTCGACATCTGAGGATACATGTATGCGTACCTACTGGCATGGATATCGGCTTAATACCACTGATTTCGGTCACTGGAGGAGAGATTTTTTATACATGTATTTTCAAGAACAGATTCTTTATTTCCAAAATCTGCCAGCGTCCCCCTCTTAATTACCCCCCCCCCCCCCCAATAGAATGAAAATTGTCGTGCCCTAAAAGATATTGATGATTTCTTTTAAAGAATAGATTGGATAGAAGTTTCTAATCTGAATTAAATTCAAACTATTCGGATATTGAAATTTTTATTTGTCTTCTGCATCAAGCGTATGAGAAAAGCAAATTTGGATTGAAAATTAACTTCAAGCTAGAATTTCAATCAATTTTTCTCAGACGTCCGACACGAATTCGCTTTCTATCACCAAATCATATGCGGCTCTCCCCAATTGCAACCAACTCAGAACCAGCAGCATACTTTGTACATATCTTAGGACTATCTTAAGATATGTCTTTGGATGTAAAACAAAAGCATCTTAGGAATATCTTTAGTTAAGATCTCGTAATTGGGGAGGGGGGGGGGGGCGTGGTCATGGGATCCGGTCCCCTTGGGATTTTTAGAGTTGTTGAAATGATATTAATAGTAAACCCAATCCCTCTAGAAAACACGGACCCCTGTTACAATGGCATAGAAAGTCACATACATTTATACATCTTCTATATGTCTATAATGGCAAAGCGATTTAACACCCCCTCCCCCTCCAAAACGAAATAGCTATATAAGGTATGGATAAGTTTATGGTTTTTTATCCTTGCTTGACAATAATGTCTGAGTCTTCTTTTTTTTTGAGTGCGCGGCTCTGTACCCTCCTCCCCCCTCCGGAAAATGCCTGTATCCGCGCTTGATATGTATTAGTAATAATAAAATGTTTCAGAAATTTTATAGATAATCGCTATTCCTCGATTTTCATTTCAAATTTTTTATCAGGTTTGTCCATTCTTATCCCGTTTTCATGTATTGAGCTGTAATAGATATAATAGAGAAATAAAATAAAAAAAAAAAAACAGAAAAGAAAATCTATATGCAATTTTTTAAAACATATTTATATTAATGGATAAGTCAATTTGAAAAAAAAATTGAAGCATTCCCTTTTTGAATAACAATAAAGATTAACATTATAACATTGTGATATATTTATAATTCACATATAAGGAACAACTGAGATTAGTAATAAGATTTATTTTCATAATGCCACTTCTTGTGGTTGTTCGTCCCCAGATGTAACAGACCCTCTCTCTCTCTCTCTCTCTCTCTCTCTCTCTCTCTCTCTCTCTCTCTCTCTCTGTAGAAAGGTTGGAGGTAGTGCCCGTCTGCATCCGCGCCGTAGCCACGCTTATGAACGTTTTAACCTGCTACATGTTTCATTCATCAATTCATAAATGTATTTTCATTTATCACTTTCTCTTTTCTATTTGTACGGTTAAAGTTATAGTTACACTATAGAAATTAATTGGTTAGCTGTAAATACACTCACAGTTTTTCATTCACAAGGGGCGGAGCCCCGAGTGAATAAAAACTGTGAGTGTATTTACAGCTAACCAATTAATATCTATTGTGTAAGTTACTTGTACCAGAGGACCAATGAGAGAAAAGTGAGTTGATAAATAGCACCGCCTACTACGAGGTGTCAAGACACGGTCCGGAGTCTGTATAAATAGCTGTCTCCATCTGCAAGGATCATACTTTACTGCGGCACTGCTACTACAAGTTGTTGATAAAAAAAATCGGAATTGGTACGTGTGAAGATATTGTACCTTTGAAATGTTGAAGACGCAGAAAACATGATTTTTGTCAGGTACAGGTATAGGGGTAGCGATTGTAGGCTTTTATGTTCAAGCCGTCAACTCTGAAAGAAAAGTTATCTTTCTAGATCTTTTTTTTTTTTTTGAAAAAAGGGGGGATGGATATGGGAAACATCGGCATTGAACTTTTTCTTTATGGCAATCGGCGTACAGAAAAAATGAAATGATTTGTGACATTTTAATGAAAGTTTGAAATGGTATTGGAAGTAAAAAAATGCGGGGACTTCTGATGTGAAATTGCTATATGTATTTGGAGACGGGAAAGAAAATGACGAGAATTCGAGATAGGACGTATCATTTACTGATTAAGGATACGCGGAGAAAACATACAGAACCATTTATGAAGCGGACACCGACAAGCTAAATAATGTTAGTATTTTTGAAATTTAAAATGTTGACTTAATTCATTCATCAGCCATTGCCTTGGTCTTGAAATTGACATCATTCATTCATTCATTAGTCAAGGTCTTGACACAGTATGGCTTGATGCCAAAAGGTGGGCGTGACTTAAAAAAAACTGTGATTCTTCTGGCAAATACACCACAGCAACATGAAAGCAAAATCTAAATTTACCGCCAGTCCTATGGTACAATGCATACATATACAGTGACACGACGCAGTGTCTACTAAATTGATTTAATTCATAAAAGAAATTAATATTTTTACAAAAACTATTGGATTAAATTATATTGTACCATAGGACTGGCGGTAAATTCAGATTTTACTTTGATGTTGCTGTGGTGTATTTGCCAGAAGAATCACAGTTTTTTTAGTCACGCCCACTTTTGGCATCAAGCCATAGTGTCAAGACCTTGACTGATGAATGGATGATCAGTGTAAATTTTAGACCTTGTCTGCTGAATGAATGATGTCAATTTCAGTCATAGTTTGACAGCACATTCAAAGCTGCTGAAAGAATGATGTCATTTTACACAAACAACTTTGCACAATTGCACTAAATATACAATTTATTCCAAATACAAATTAAAACATTTATAAATTCTCATTTTTGTAATTTTTTTCTTAGATTGTCTTATATTGTGTACTTCACATAATTATGCTATAAAAACATTTCAACTTTGATTTTAACATAACATAATTTCACATTTCTTTTTAATTTCTGTGTACCTCACAAATTTTACCAAAAAAAAAAAAACCCACACACACGATTGATTACTCGGGAATTCGGCATTGTACTGTCAAAATTTGAACTCAAACACACAATTGTTATACGCAGTAACACCAGTGCAGCCAGATTTAGAACACATCCTCTCAGTGGATTCGGACACCTCCATTTCAACTTTCTCGCGTTTCACAGGTGGTTCCAATACATTTGAAATTTCTTCCAACATTTCTCCTGAAGGCCTCTTGTATTTTCTTACGCTTTGTACACTACGATGCCCAGTACGGCCCATTATTTCCTGCTCTTGAATTCCAGCTTGATAAAGTTGCGTTGCACAGGTTCTTTTCCCTGAATGGTTACTGAATGCGCCTTTGAGCCCCCCTTCCTCACAAATACTTTTCATAAGCTTTGATAACTTATTGACACCAAGACACTGCTTACTAAATGTTTTTAAGTTATTCTTGTTTTCCAGAGGACGCCTATAAAATGGTTCAGAACCATTCTCATCAGTAGAAATCATTCGAACAAGTTGAATGTATTCCTCGTAAATAAGGAAAAGCTTGGGGTCAGAAAACACATGCTTAATAGTTTTTGGAGAAATGTGCCTCTGATTCAGCCCACCTAAAATTAAAATACCAATTAAATTTCTTACATTTTTTTCGTTCCTATGAAACTTTTCATTTCTTAGGCACAAATGTGTTTAGACACCCCCCACCCCCCTTTTGTAAGATAAAACAAACAGACAGTTGAGAAAAATCTTCAGATATTTAGCAACAATAATTGAAAAGTAGGCCTAAGATACGCTTAAATATTGTCGCAATTTATTTACTCTAAAGAATGAAAATATAAATATATAAAACTAGAAAGTGTAACTTACCCTTGTAGGTTTTGTTAGCTCTCCCATAGAATGTAAGACTCATTGGCTCTTTGTCCAGTTGAAATTGATTCAGCTCTAAGTTTCTATGTTCGTCTGTCCCCCTCATCCCAAACAGTTTGCAATTGTAGAAGAAAACTGTATATAAAAGTGATTTTGCTGTTCCTGATCCAAACACTCCCTTTGACCAGATAGAGTTCCTCCTCATTGTCACGAGATATGGGGTCCGCTTGATGTGTTACTGTTCCAACACCCTGCTTTGTTAACTCAGCCATTCTTGCACTCAAACTTCGTCGAAACGGAAAAAAACAGGATTTTTTTCATCTAGAAAATTCATAAAAGTTCCGCTTTCTTTCTGTACTCTCATCAGTCCGGCACAAAGTTGATAAAGCGTGTTAGGAGGGTACGGTGCTCCATCCTTGCGTCTGGCTTCAAGTACAAATCTGCTCAACCATACATTTACATCGTTTTCTGTAAAATTTTCGATCTCAGGTATAGGGACGTTTGTCTGGCTTGTTCTGTACTCTCGCCACTCATCAAATGTTTTCTTACTCCAATTGGAGTTTTTTCTTGTATGTTTACTCTCAGTATCCTTAATTAGACGATTTATATCCTCTTCCTCTTTTAGATCTCCGAAGCGCGACCCAGCTGAGTTCACATCAGAATTCTCCGTTTTCATTTTCACATCAGAACTTGTAATATCAATATTTTCCATTGACAATATATCAAAATTTCCGAAATCAATGTCAAGGAAATCACTTAAGGACAAGTTTTCAAAATTTGATTCGGCTTCAAGGAATTCTGCAGCCTGACTCAAAGTTATGTCATCTATCTCATGAACATTCCAGAGATCCATTTTTTGTTAAACTACTGTAAATTTTAATTGTTTTAAGCTTTTATACAGGAGTAGGCAGTACAAAACAATATCTTGATTTTTCATTGGTCCATACAATGAGTGTTGAATGTTAATATTTGATCATTAATATGTAGCATGCAGTAGGCGGTACAAAACGTTAGCTCAACTTTTTGATTGGTCCTCTGGTACAAGTAACTTACACAATAGATATTAATTGGTCATTGGTAAATACACTCACAGTTTTTAATTCACTCGGGGCTCCGCCCCTCGTGAATTAAAAACTGTGAGTGTATTTACCAATGACCAATTAATATCTATAGTGTAACTATAACTAAGCTCTGTAAATTCAATATATTCTAGTTGTTTTCCTGGCACCAGCGCTTCTGATATCATTTAGATATGTATTAGGATAAGCACATCGTCGTCTTGACTTAATGTTGACTAAATCAAATTACATGAAAGTTTATACCTTTATGAAATCCGGGAAATGGAGGGGGCTAAGTATCTCATTTTTGACTTCTTCACGTACCTAAATTAATTCTTTTCTTCCTGTTCAGCTATATCTACTTTTGGTTTCAGAATTACATTGTAATTAGTTATCAGTTTCTTGATCAATAGTCAGGATTTAGAGCTGATGAGAGAATCCGTAAACCTACCCCTGGGATTTTCAGTCTTAAACTTTATAGAGTCAAATAACCTTCCCCCCAACCCCCTAAGGAGAGGAAACGCAGAGCTTTCGGAATTCATAAAATGTACATGCATTTACAAGAAGGAAAGGGGTCTGTCAGTGTAACCCCTTTCTAGTTAATTTTGTATCATTCATTTGATTTATGCCCAATTCTTTTTAGATGCATGTATAATATCCTCTAGTCCCTTACAAAGTCTTGTATGATGTTTCCTTTTTTATTACATGTGCACTGCATGCACCGCTTGATATTGGAAAAAAAATCTAGTTCAGAACATTAATAAAAGTGTTAAAGTTCTGCCGGCAATTAATATTTCGTAGTAAATAAGGAAATTCTAAATACTAAAGAACTATATGCGGTATATGCACATTTTTGCCTCCACAAAAATCATATTTTGAAAATTTCTTGAAATGTGCTGAATTGTGTATATTGTGTGAGAAATCTAAATTAACAAAAAATATTATAGTTTTGAAGTAGATTATTGGCAACTTTTGTTTCTATGACGTCACAAACTATTCGGATTTTGTGTTATTTTTCAGAAAAAGGAAAAAATGGACAAAATTTGTTCAATTTTTGCTATAAAATTTATAGAGCGCAGGCCTGCTCAAGAAGAATATTTACATATTCCATTGATATTATCATTCTACACATTATATCAAAATATTGAGTTGGAGCAGACCTGCGCTCCGTGACTTTTACTCAAAATATCGACGTAATATACACTTTTCTGTATAAATCATGGAAATTTTAAATTTACGTCATCTTTCTGACGTCATTTCTAACATATGGCGTCATGGCTTATGAAAATATTCAGTGCTTTGAAGTTTGCAGATATTCCCCTGTTTTAGAATATAATTATATTTTTCTCCGTCAAAGTTTGATTTTGGGGGCAAATATTAGTCATTACCGAATATAGTCCTTTGGAGATTTTTCAAATTGGTGCGCTCATATCTCAGTCCTTATCCCAGTTTATATCAAATCAATGTATTTAAGAATAGTTTGATTTATATTAAGATTTGGGTTGTTAAGCGCAACATCTTGTAATTTGGCACCGCATGCACCAATCACCTTTTCCTAGTGAGTACTGAATCTATAAGTATTAGTATGCTGTCACGGTTGTTAAATTCCTGTTAAAGTACATCATTGAGGGAGTTAGCAAGATTCCAGTTCCCCAAGGCCAGGACTATTTCCCGGGGCGAATTTCCTGGGTTAGGGATACTAGCTCATCCTTAGTCCTGAAACTATGTGCCTGGTCGTAACGTGTGGATAAATTAAAAGTGTATACAAGTTAAGCAAACACAATTTACGAAAGCCAAAAAGAAAAAAAAACTCAAAGTTCGGGGGGGGGGGATGCCCGACGCGCGCCAGTATGTGCTGGATCCGCCTTTGGCTACTTCTTTACTCTTCCTCCCTCCTCTTTCATCAGATTCTGTTTGTTTTAGTTTCGAGCCAGGAATACTGTACATGTATGTGACGACCGGTGGATAACATTTCTCTTAGAATTCAATCTGCCAGAAACATTTTTGCTTGATACTATTAAAGAGTTTTGACTGTACACATTAAAAAAAAAATCTTTGCTTGATTATAGCATAATCTATAGGAGTTTTGAAAAAAAAAATAAACAAGGTTGATCAAATGCATTCTTAATTTCTGTTAACCATTTGTCATTTTGTCATATTTTATAATTATGCATCCTTGCTTGCACTTATTCACATGGTTTATTTGTTTATCTTTGGAATTTTTTAAAAGTTAGTGTAGCATATGCACTCAGAATAGCACATAGCACCTGAATGGAATTAGCATCTAGCACCTGCATGGAAATATCTCTTACATGTAGCAACTGCATGAATGAACGTAATTTTGGATATTGACGCGGGGGTAATCCCCACATTTATGTACATGTATAGTTCTGTACTGTGATATACAGCTTTCTATATCATTTGTCTACTAAATTATATATACATATATTAATTTCGGAATATATTTACTGAAACCTTGTTCTTTTTTTTTCAAAACGTTCTTTTGAAAAATAAACTAAGATTAGAATAATAGTATATTTACTGAAAAATTGAAAAGGGGGGCTAATTTGAAAGGGGGGCTAAACCAACCCCCACCCCCAAAAAACGTTTGGGGACTATGCCCCAATTTTCAAAGCCTATATTGTCTATCTTTGAAAAAATAAGTTTGGGAGGCTGCCCCCTCTAGCCCTCCCTCCGGTTCCGACGCCTATTAAGAGTTTATTACGCATCGCTTCTTATCATCAATATTTCACATTATCAATTTCTATAATGTAATATTAAGAAAGACTTTTTTGGGGTGGGGTGGGGGTTAATTTTTATTTCTTTCTTTCCTTGGTGTTTTTTTTAAAATTTATTTAACTATAATTTATTCATTTTGAGGGAAAGTTCATCCTAACTTAAAAGATGGAACAAAAATTCTCAAAAAACATGGGGCCAAAGTATACTTGTAGTTTGAGTAAAAAATCAATCCATGTCACTTGATAACCAGTAATTAATGAATCAGTTTTACATGATTTCTCGTAATTATGCGTAGAGAGGTTTGTAATCTATATAGAAAAGGAGAAAATATAACGCATTAAATTATATGACAATTCTACATTGTAAATACATTCAACTATGGAAACCTATGTTATTGTTATACAGTACTTTTTGTAATGACAAAATGTACTGCCATGGGGGTTGTGTATGGACTTTTGTTGCGAGGATAAACATGGCAGTGCATGTCCATAAAAGATTTATATTTTCTTTTCAAAGATTTGCTTTTGTATTATAAAATGCATGTAATGAATTATAATATCTAATAATATCTATTTTCATGAATGTAAATAAAGGAAGAAAAAGAACACTATGGAAACCCAGCTCTTTATATCTGTTCTATAATGCTTTTTGTTGGGCCAAATGCCATTAAAATCATCAGCCTTTGTAAGTTCACTTATCATTAAAGTAGTACTATCAAGGAACGGCATTGATAAAAAAGGGTGTTGAAGTTCTTTTATTATTTTCCTTAATCGGCAAAAATTATGAAAAATATAAAACAAAAGCCGAAAACTAAATTTTAGGTGGAGAGAAAATTGGCTTGAGGGGTAGTCACACTTTATAGCTTTTAAGCTGTGTATGATCTCTCGAAAATATTGGCTTTCTTTAGTAGAAATCCTTCTCTAGATCCAGTTTTTCCGGGGGACTCCCCCTCTAAAACCATTTTCCCGGGAAATACTTGAGGGGGGGGGGGGGGGTCTACCGTACAAAGTCGGTACTTTTGCTGGTTGGAACAATGTTGAGGTCTACATGAATATTTTATGTGTTTGAAGGGTCGAAGAAGGTCTTGATTAAAACTATGTAAATTAAGATTCACGACGCTATCTCCCCCCCCCCCCCTCCCGCCTGTGTATGACGAATGATGACCCTTATTGTCAACACACATGGCGCACGTTCTTACAACGCACCGTAAGAATGATTGAAAACAGAAAGTGTGTTTCCTAACTTTGTTTACATCTCTTTTGTGGGGCATAAGCAAAACGTCCTCTATCGGATAACACATCGTCCTCGCAAGGTTAACACACCGTCCTCTCACGGCTAACACACCGTCCTCTCAAGGTTAACACACCGTCCTCTCACGTTAACACAACGTCCTCTTACGTTAACACAACGTCCTCTAAAGCATAGTGAAAAAATCATGCTTTAATTTTCAAAATACAACATAATGCAAACCCCCATCGTGTATCTAGTGCCAAACCTTATAAATATACCAAATCTTGAAAAAATATCTCAATTAGAAAGTATAGTCCTCGGAGGAATGTGGGGTGTCATAGTCCTCGAATGGTCGGTGATGCATGTGAGAAAATGAAAGAAGCCCAGAAATAGTCAGACTGGATTGTCTTTATTCAATGATGTACAAAAATAGCATATATGATTCAGTTCAAATTTTGAGAAAACAGGGGGCAGAAAAGCGGCATTACTGCACTTAGTTCTTGCCCCAGTGAAGATTACTCTGTCATTTTTTGTTCATTTTTGATTTTATTGTTCCCGTCGCATCCAGATCCTATGGAAGCTGAACTAGGAGTTTCTTCCACATTGCTGCTTGATTCATCAGTTAACTGATCATTTTGCCCGTCACAATCTCCAGCTGCTATTCCTGTGTTGCATTGACCTTCAGTGACATTATTTATTCTATCAGAATTCATTTCCCGAATATCTTTCTCATTATATCTTTTAATACACCATACTATTATACATAAAGTTAATAGAATTATAACATCAATTACAATTACTGGCAATAGGATTCCAAAGTATGGAT